ACCTTTGAGGATATTGTGACTCTAGCTAAGAGCTAACCTGTACATTCCCAAATGTTTAATGTACAATCTGTACAAGTATCCATCTATTTTCTATGCTTGTATTTTGGTCAAGGCACTGTAACCTCAAAGATCATCATATCTAGCAGAAGAAGACACTGGTCTTCACAAATAAAATGTAAGAGTTATAACGAGGAAGACTTACAGTGTAATTAGCAAGATACAGTTTTAAGAAAAGTTCAGGTTGATGAAGCAAAGTCAGGTCTTTCAATGGGATTTCATTATTTTCTTGACTTCAGTGACAAAGAATGGGAAAGGGGGAGATTTTGAGATTTTTTTTATTATGACTTAATTTTATAATTAAAAGTCAGAATATATATTAGTTATTAAATACCATATTCAGTTACTTTATATTACATTTTAATCTCATTTTAAAATGTATAAAATTCCTTTTTATGTATTATTAACTTTATTTAGGAGATAATTAATCATCTCCTAAAATTTTCAAGAAGACAATGAAAATTATGATTACTCAGATTTGAATACAGAGGCAATACAAGCCTGTGCCTATAATCGTAGATCCAGGGCTGGTGCTCTTCACTTTCAAGCCTGGCTGGTGCCTGCAGGTTCTCTCTGCCATTCCTGGATGTCCCATAAATACTATGTACTGATTTCTTACAAAATCTTAAAAGAGTAGTAATGGCTAAAAGAGGCAGCATCACCAGACTTCATTGATTAAAAAACAAATGAGGTTTTCCCTGCACTGGGTTAGCTTTTAAAACAACAGACTACAAACACTATTATCAACAGAGGGATCTTAAAAGACTTAAAAGGGAAGTTGGATGGAAAGAAATGAGAGAGAGAGAGAGAGAGAGAGAGAGACAGAGACAGAGACAGAGACAGAGACAGAGACAGAGACACAGAGAGAGAGGCAGAGAGAGACAGAGACAGAAATAGAGACAGAGAGAGAATATGAGGCACGGTTTTAATTAAGCAATGATAAGATGCCATGACTTCTGGCCCAGAGCACTTTACATTTTTAATATGGACAATAACGCAGAATGTTCAATCACATTTTAATTGACATTAGTCTCAATCAAGGCTTACAGTTGAACTGTGTGAAACTGGCTCTTAACGTCCTCACTAGCACGCACTTGAACAAGAGGCATCTAACAGAAAATCTAAATAAAATAAAAGTGGTCTTTAACGATTGAAGTTTCAAAGCAATAAGGTTCAGGAACAGATACTGAGTCTAGGCAAGATGGCATTTTCATTGAACTCAATATTGAATTGGGCTGTGTGTTAAAAGTCCATTCTCAGCAAGACACATTTATTTTATGCATGGCTTATTTATTGGAGCTCTTAAGTGAATTCATATTCTTACTTTTTAAATTTAATTAGAAAGAAAGCTTCCAGAATAATTTAGTGTGCCAGACATAGAGGAAGGATGAAATTTATTACTTACAAATAACTACTAAACTTACTAATTAAATAAAAATCTAACTTGAAAAATTATAACTGTCATTGCTTCTGGTGATCAGCCAAAGTGATAGATACAGTGTATTCTTTCTTTAATGAAGGGATGTTTTCACAAGTTCATACATGCTTCAAAAATAGTAATACTGTACTTAGTTTATGGATTTTTGATGTATTTAACTTATATTTTATTTTTATTTATTTATTTTATTAAAAAAATTTTTATTCATTTTACATCCAATCAAAGATATCCCTCTTCCCTCCTCTCACCCCTCCAGCCTCCCCCTCCCAACCCACCCTGCATTGCCTCCTACAAGAAGGTAAGACCTCCAATGGGGTGGTACATTTAGTAGAGGCAGGTCCAAGACCCTCCCCCTGCCTCAAGGCTGAGGGAAGTATCCCACTACAGGTAGTGGGCTCCAAAAAGCCTGATCATGCACTAGGACTGGATTCTGATCCTACTGCCAGGGGGCCCCTTACGCAGATCAAGCTACATAACTGTCTCACTATGCACAGGACCCAGTCCAGTCCCATGCAGGCTGCACAACTGTTGATCTAAATTTCATGTTTATTTATTTTTTATTTAAAATATTTTTTTTCACTTTACATAGCATCCCTAGCTCACACTTCATCCCCTTCTCCTGCTCTCCCCCCATTTACCCCCATCCCACCCCCTAGCCAATCCTCAGAGGGGGTAAGGCCTCCCTTGGGTAGTCAACAAAGTCTGGCATACCAAGCTGAGCCAGGGCCTAGCCCCTTCCCCTGCATC